GCCACCGGGCCGGCCTGTTGTAATTAAATCTTATTAGGAAAAAATTAGCTCGCATGCTTCTAAACCATTTAAAATCAATCTCTCTCTCTCTCATAGGCATATCTTCTTATTTGATTTAGCAGTGATCGTATGTAAAAGGAAAGGTGACAACTATGAAATGAAGGAAATAATAGATCTTCAGCAGTACAAGATAGCCAACAATCCTACAACTGATAAAGAAAATAAAAAGGTGACTTCTTGGAAATTAATAATTAGTATCCTCATAACTTTGAATATTCAGAAAAAGTATGTGAGATGTGGCATATCGATCCGGGTGATTTTGTTTCTAGAGATTAAGTTATGTTTTTGAGAAATAACTGGACAGTGCCACAGCTCATCTGGTGGTCTCTAATGCCCTAACAGTCAAGACAGTAAAATACATTTGGCATAGAAATTGTTATAGATGACGGGTGGACTATAATCATCCTTATCGTTTACAGTTTGTACATTGATTTTGGATGGTTATGGACAGTGTTTTAGTGAATTTGGAAACATGACGTTATCAATGAATGATATATATTAACTCAAAGCATATTCATTTTAACAGTGGTCTTATGGCTTCTACCTCATCCATACCCAAGGACAAAATGGGTTAGAATTTTATTGCAAAACAAAAGATTTAAAGAAAAAGTGGCTGGAACAGTTTGAAATGGCTTTGTGAGTATTCATATATTTAAAAGCATTTTTTTTCCTACTGCTTAAATCACTTATGAATAATGAACAACCAATAAATGTACTTTAATGCTTGTCGCATGTGTACAAAGCTTTGGGAAACTGCTCTGAGCATGAGCACCACTAGGCTGCGTATTTGATAACTTTGGTCTCCCAGGAGAGGAGTTTTACTGGTAAATTTCTTCAAAAGGAAGAAAGAGGGAGCTCTAGCCTTCTGTTTGACTCTCTTATAGGAATATTTTGGTTTTTTAGCTTTCAGCAGCCCAAGAAAATATAAATTATTCTAATGATGAACTTTTAATGTAATTACTATGTTTTAAAATATATCTTTAAATACCTCCCCCCACACGTACACACACAAATATACTCATATACATATATGAGCATATCTTATTTTTAATAGATTGGTTTCTTCCCTCTGTTTTTAACTCATTTATTGTT